AATTATATATTACGTGATCCATTAAAACTATTCACAAAACTAATTTATATCCCTTTGGGGATTCTCTCGGCTTTCTATGACTGTATTTATGAACATATTTTGTGAACATATCGTTCTAAAGATTCCAAACGAGATTTTTTACGAGATACCTTGCTGTTGTAGTTAGTTTAGGTATGTTACAGGTAGAAAGAGACCAAACAAACAGACAGTGTTTCAGTGCTCATTACGATTATATTATAAAATCATGTAAAGATAAAGAAATACAATACATTCATATTATTAATTATTATACTATAATTTTTTTCAGAATGATTAGATAGATAGATAGATATATAAATTCTTTATTCAACAATTACAAACACATAGCATACGTGAGATACATTTTATAAACAGAAATAAAGTTTACAAATTAAATAATACCGAAATATAATATTACAAAATAAAAATAAAAATGGAGGTGGCTTTATGTGTCGCAATGATGAAGAGGCAACCAACTCAGCATGAAGCTACAGATAAGTCTGCAGCGCTGATACTCTGTTGGCTCCTATAATTAAATACATACTTACATACATATATACGTGAATGTTTATATATTACACTTCGAGCTCTTAAACAATTATACAATTACAAAACATTATACAATATATAAATAGATTAAAAATGATATACATATATTCTTAAACTCTTACATACTACGTACATAAATAATAGATGTTGTTAGCATATATAAGGTCGCTGGCTAAACGCTCCGTGAGTCAGACATTATTGCTCCTGACCAAGCTTACAGACTTCGGTCGTTGAAAAGACTCCTCAGGTAAAGGACCTCCTATTTTAAAGTCAGTTGTTCAGACAATAAGTGTTTTTTAAAAAGGTTTTTAAAATTCACTTTAGTTTTGATATTGCGAATGAGAGGAGGTAAGTTATTCCAACACTTGGAGGCCATATATCTGAAACTGTCCCTGAAAGCAGTAGTCCGATGTGCTGGAGTCACTAGTCGATACAATGAAGCCCCGGTTTTAAAAGCGTGTTTATTGCCGGACCACACAAGTTTTCTATAAAGATAATCAGGCATTTTAGATTCAATGACTTGAAACAATAAAGTCGCAAAATAAAGGATGTAACGTGAAGACATATTTAGTTGTTTAGCATTATTACGATAAGGAGAGACATGACTGTGCGGTGGTATACGGAAGCAAAAAAGCAAAAATATTAATTGATAGACAAATAGGTATTTATTGACAGACAGATAGGTGGTTTATATTCAAAATTCATTCAACAGTGCACTAGAGAGAGAACTTTCTAGCATTTCATAGATTCACCGTGCCGGTTGCTGAGCGAGCCTGGTCCATCGTGTGGCAGAGAGGGAAACTTCGAGCAGTACCCGGTACTTGTGACCCAGGTTTATTTTTAAGGGTTAGCATCCATAGAGTGCCGGTTGCTGTTTGAGCCGGGTTCAGCGTGTGGCAGTGAGAGCAACTCCGAGCTGATACTGCGACTTGTGACCCAGGGATTTTTTTTTTTAGTAATTTTCGTCAAGTTAGGAAATCGCTTGAGAATGGATATATATGTAGCCTTATTTAAAACCCCCACAATTATCTAATTTTCAAAAAAAGTTTTATTTGATAGAGAAAACATGAATTTTATTTCTCCATGTGACAAGGCTAATACGGCGTTCTGTTTGTGTGAAACTGTTTTGAGTGATAACTATACATATTTTATTGGAATTGCGAAAGTGACAAGCCACAAAACGTATGCTTATGTGTCGAAGTATGACAATTCCCAACAAATTATTTGAAAATATTATTTATTATTATTAAACAAATATTCCCAACAATTTGCATTATGCGTTTTAATATAGCCTAACTCAATTTCGTGAAACTTTAGACAATACAAATTGAAATATTTGAGCGATTTTTCTCAGCAAACTATTAGAACAAATGACATAAGATTGCTTAACAACGTTTTGTTTATTGAATTTTGACGTCATACGATGTTCAATCATAACCGCTCCATGTCAACCACAGATAAAAAAAACTCAGATTTATTTTCCAAAAATAAAATATTAATAATGTTTTTTAATGCAAAAAACATATTGTATGCTTACTGTTTACTAAGAAGCTACCATAGAAAATAGTTTTCATATTTTATTTCTACAACTGTCATATAGCCAATTCTACCGTAACACCGGCGGAAGGACCACCACACACAAGGATGCGTCAACGCAGTCGAATCCTTGTGGTTACGACGTTCTCAAACTAAAACGTTCAACGTCCTTAATGGTATAATTTAAATAAAAAAAAATAATCAGATTCTGATAATATTCCCGTGTCTTACATATACATATATACCTACACGTCTCTACATGAAAATTTATATGTAGGTACATATTAATTAATTTAAGAATGATTACATACACGCTTCTATTGTTGATTTCTCAGCGCTGGGTAATAGTTTTTTTTTTTAATTTGTGAAGCCAGTTAGGAGATCTGTGTTAAAAAATATCAACATTATTATCCACAACGGTTCGTGTTAAAATTTATGTACATATTTTACGCGTTCCGTTATTTGTGTATCAGGCAGCACAAAATGGCGGTGAAAAGGACAAATATGGCGTCGTCGCGGCTTCCTGATTTATACGTGTCTTTTGTACATCCGCCGCCCGTGACGTACCGAGTGAAAATTGTACATACGTAATGGATGGAAAGAACATGTTACACGATATTTTAATGGACTTATAACTACCCTCATTAAATGGACTATGTAAATGATATATTACTGTTTTAAATTAAATTACATTTTAATAGTGTTTATTTCTACAAATTCTCGGTTTATAACATTTTAAATTGGAATATTAAGGAAGATAGACACTTTCGGGGTAAATTAAGTACTAAATTGATTATATATGCACTTGTATACTATATATACTATATTGTATGCTGCTTGGGTGAAATATATAACTTTCTATTTAGAAATGCATGATGAGGAGGTACCATGGGTGTCATGGTGACAAATAAACTCAGTTTCTTGCTATTTCATTCTTCTCCATTTAATTTGTATACTGAACTGGACTGTAGGGAAAAATAATGTTAAGACAAATAACTTACAAGTTCAAAAGCGGCTAAAATGGCAATGAATAAATTATATTTGATTTGAACTAACTGACCTATTTTATTCATTTTCATCTTATCATCCCTCTTCAGGACACATACCTACCGTTAACGCGGGCGAGTGCATATTACTATGTAATGTTATGTTATCTGTGACGTTACCATTGAATTATCATACATTAAAAAAATATATCTTGCTAGTATTGTGGCATAAAAAAGTTGATCATCTGCTATATTTTTTACAAGAAGTTAATGATTGTTACATAAAAACTAGTCTTCTTCTTCGTTTCAACGGCAACCAAATACATATATTTAAATATATTTTCCCAGAACGCCGCGACAACTTTTGCGCACTCCGTCGCATGCCTTAGGTCCCCTTTGTGCAGGATGCTGGGCATAAAGGACAAGCCAGCAGGTGTGCCATAGTCTGGGATGGCGCTCCGCAGTCACAAGCACCAGAAGCGGCACCCCACTTTACCAAGTTGTACCTGCAGCGGCCCATCTGGGTTCGTAGTCTGTTGAGCGATTTCCAAATGGGCCATTGCAGGTCACTACCTGGGGGCAGGTGTTCGACGGGGTGAATAGTCCAAAGGTCAGTCAAAAAAAAAAGTCAAAAGCAGGATGATTTAACTGGTGACCGATGATTAGTAGACTTATTTTGTTCCCTGCAGCATTATTGAAGTATTTGTTTATTTATTTTATTATTCCCGAAATTCGTTGGTTGTTTTGTTTTTTGTTGCTGTTGTTTTATTTCTGTGTTACGCGGGCATTGATGTACATTGTACGTTGTTGTTACGGTATTTTTAATTTGTAATGTATATATATAAGAAAATAAGGAATTCTGCATCATGAGGCTTTATATTCTACGATGCGACGACGAAGGAATTATAATGAAATTTTACAGTAATATACTTTATCCATCAGAATAACACATAAGCCTTAAATTTCATGCCGAAGCCTAGCATAGCTAGTAAAAAATACTTTTAAAAACGTTTTATTAATAATCATGAAATGATAATTAGCTTACATTATAATACATTATAATAAAGTTATTTGTCTAATTATTACTTCTATTCCATTGTAATGTTTTTGCTGGCTTGAATTTCGTAACTACAAATTTTCATGCTGAATTTCAGTCACATATTTCCGCACATATATTTTAAAGCCATGAAATATTCGAGCGACCGCAACGGTGGGAATCCTACGAGAATTCTGTGTATGACAAAATCGTTGGCCATTTCAAAAGATCTATACAGCTTCAATATCTTTACATAATATAAAACGAAGTCGCTTCCGCTGTCTGTACGTTTAGATCTTTTAAACTATGCAACGAATTTTTAACAATTTTTACTATAGATAGATTCAGGAAGATTTATATGTGTAATACATGTAGACCCGTGTAAAGCCGGGGCGCGGAGCCCGATATAAATAATTATACTCATGAATACAAATGTTTGCACCGTGCAAGGAATCGAACCCGCGACCATCGGAAGTATAGCGGTGTGCTAAACCGATAAACCACCGAGGCCATCAAATATATAATATATTTTAGTACATATAGTATAGTATTGTTATTTTATTAATTAAATTTGCCATTATTTTGAGTTGTAATATTTTTAATTAGTTCTTATCAATAACAGTGATAGGATAAGCGTCAAACAGAAAGATCGTTACCTTAATGGGCATGTTTCGAGTCCATAATTAATTTGAACGAGCAAATAGCAGTTAAAAATTAATTGTATAGATATATTTTCTAAATAAAAATATTATATGACCATTATGATTTGAAATTATCTCTCCCACAGAGTATATAATATCAGGTCAATAAAGATTCCAGTTCATTTCTCGTTCGGGTGAACAGGAAATTATAAAAAAAATAGTTTCGTTGTAAAAATGAAGATATATAACATATTTTTCATTTTGTCCGCTGTTGTTTTAATAGCAGTGGTAGTGGTAGAATGTGGGCATACATTCCTTGGTACGAATATTCAGAGACCATTAGTTCAACATCACCGTGCGAAATACAATTCTAATATTTTCCGTAAGAGAGTTGAATATTACAATTTCACACTGCCAAGAAATTATATTATTGTTGGAGGATCAATTAAGGTATGTGTATGTTTTTTAAGTCCCATAGCTCAGTTACTAAACAAAGTCAGTCACAAAGTGCACACACGTTTACCCGCGTCTAGGCGCGTTTGTTAACATCGCGACTCTCAAACTATTTAACTTATATACTTAGTATATACAGGACAAAGTTTATTTACTTTAAATACTGAAACCGATAAATGTATAAGTACATTTATCGGTTACTTACCTTACCCCTTACTAATATTATAAATGCGAAAGTAACTCTGTCTGTCTGTCTCGCTTTCACGCCAAAACTACTGAACCGATTTAAATGAAATTGGGTACACAGATAGTCTAGACCCTGAGAAAGGACATAGTGTACTTTTTAACGCGAATAAAGGTTTGTAAGGGGTTGAAAAAGGAGATGAAGCGCTGTATGGAAGTATCGTCATTTTTAAAACTAGAATTTTGAAACTTATATGTAGGCTGTTCATTAAATACTATAAATAAAAATTTGACTAAGTTTGTAAAATTGTTACCCTTAAGGGAATAAAAAATAGAGGATGAAAGTTTGTATAGAAAATCGTCTTCTTTGAAACTATAACGAGTAATCTTTTTCTTTGCCTTTTTTGGGTTACATTATTAAATATGTTTTTTATATTTGGTCAAGGTCACTTACACGCGCACAAAGTCGCGGGCACAGCTAGTTTTGATATAAATAAGTTTAATACTGTAGATTAATCATTTTTATTAAAGTATCGTAATTAAACAGATATATTTATGTTACACTAAATTGACTATAACAGCTTCCACATAAAAGGTATATAATCCTATTGTGTACTTTTATACAGTTTTATATTCATTTATATATTTTTATACATTACTATGATGTAATACATATAACTCTAACAATTTATACAGCGTAGACCAAAATAGATCTCAACAGAAAAAAATCTTGACTTACTTTTCATTTTCATTAATATAATTAAAATAACTTTTAATTATACATTTTGTACAACACATAGATCTGATAAGATGTTACTAAAAGTTTCATTAAGATTCGTTGAGTAGTTTTTGCGTGAAATAAGAACAAACATCCATCCGTCGATCCATCTATGCATTCATTCATTAACCTCATTCTGCTATTTAATTGTTTTTAATTTATACTTGCAACTTTTTTTTTATATTGAGTACAAACACGGTCATTCTGCTTGTTAAAATATTGCTCAATAGTAAAAATTTTCTCATTCGTAAAAAGAATATATCTAGAGCCTCCCTTTGTGTACCGCTTATTATTATTACTATTTAGTTATTTTGATTATTAGCAGTTGTTTTGATTTTATCACCCTACAAGTCCTAAGTAATCTTTTGAAACATGCAACATGGTTGTAGGAGCTATCTTCATCTCGCGAGATAGAATCTTTTATCGCGCGATAGAATATTTTATCTGACAGGATTTCTTCGATTTTTTTCGATTATGCTTTGATTGCCATTTTCGTATGACCTTAGCATCTTACCATGGACGGCCAGATCTCAGCGATTCGGTTCTCGTAATCACCGCATTTTAATAACAAAAATATTTGACAAATGATTGGCAAAAGGAAAAAACACAATCAACATTTTTTTTGGTTCTGATGACGCACAATGAACATTCATATAATATTGACAGATTCCAAATTCCAAATCTTGTTTTATTTTTAATTGTAACAGTCTTTAGGGCCAGCCTATATATATTAATACACTTACACATGACATGACTCACAAAACTTCAATTTTTATTTCTTAACATTCATTTCCAAACACTATTTGTTCTGGAGTAATCACAGCGGATTTTCGGGAATAATGAAATTAAAGACGCAGAGTAACTTGTACGACTTCTATATTTTTAACTTAATAAAAACTACAAAATTGTATGAGCACAGATCACAAAAGTGTAATATTTGCGTAAATAAAATAAGTAGGCGCTTTGACTTCACAACATTCCCCCCGGCATTGAAAGCTGCGCTTTCAATCAGACTCCGATGATACTGGTAATGGGCAGATTTTGCTAAAGGCTCGCCGAATAACTCCAGTGGATGTCCGGATATCAGCAACCCGTACTATGCCGTCAAGACCAGGATGAACTCCCACAACTCTTCCCAATTTCCACTTTAATGGCGGAAGATTATCCTCCTTAATTACTACCAACGTATTCAATTTTAAATTATCCTTGCAAGTACGCCACTTAACACGTTGTTGCAATTCTGCAATGTACTCTTTGCTCCATCTAGCCCAAAAATGTTGTCGTAATTGCTCAATGCGTTGGAACCGTGTTAAATTATTTGTGGAATGTCTTTGATAATCTCGGTCTGGCAAAGAAGTCAGAGACCGCCCAATTAAAAAATGGCCTGGGGTTAATGGATTATAGTCCGCAGGATCCGAAGAAAGTGGTGTCAGGGGTCGAGAGTTCAGCACTGCTTCAATTTGTATGAGAGTGGTGTTAAGCTCTTCATAGGTTAATGTACAATTACCCAACACTCTCTGTAAGTGGTATTTTGTCGACTTTACACCCGCTTCCCATAAACCTCCGTAATGAGGAGCATACGCCGGAATAAAATGGAAGTCAATGCCATCACAGGCTGCACTTTCGCCTAAAGAATTACAATTCGTATTTAGAAATTTTGAAATGTCGTTGTATGCACCCACAAATGAGGTACCATTATCGGAATAAATATTGACAGGTTTACCTCTTCGCGAAATGAATCGACGTAAAGCAAGTATATAATTATTACTAGTTAAATCGCCTACCAACTCTAAATGAATAGCTTTGGTAGTGAAGTGAAGCAAACAAAAACTGAAATATAAACCTTTACTAGCTTACAACCGCGGCCTTGTCGACTAGCGGACATAATAGGTCCGGCATAATCGACACCGACCGTTTCAAAGGGATAGCCACCAGAAAGTAGGCGCTGCTGTGGTAAATTTCCCATCAGGGGGGTTACAATTTTACCCTTCATGCGTGTACATCTGATACAATTGTGATAACAGGTTTTCGCTAAATTTCGCCCGCCTATAGGCCAATACCTTTCTCTTATAGATGCTAGCAACAATTGAGGACCGGCATGCATTAGGCGTTTATGCTCATAAATAAATAATAATTTTGTAAAAATGTGACTGGACTGTAAAATTATAGGATGTTTTTTATCTTGTGAAAAATTTGAATTATCAATACGACCTCCGACGCGCATTAATTTATTTTCGTCCATAAAGACGTTCAGTTTTAATAGTTGACTGTTTTTTGGCAAATTATCATTATTTAACAGTAACTTGTACTCGGGAAAGGATTCATATTGACTATTTGAAATAATTAAAACTAAGGCGTCGCGTAAGTCTACCTCTTCTAAAAAATTTGATACTACAAGTACCTTTTTACAATATTTGATAAATCTTAAAACATAGGCAACTGATCGCAATAGTCTTAAATAATTAGAAAAGCGACTAAATTCAATGAGCCCACAGGAATTGTTATTGTTAATAACAATAGCATTTAGAGATATGTCTGGTTTAATTTCTGGGAGAACTTCAACACACTTCAGTTGCGTAGGCCACTTTGACAAGTCATTCATGAGAAATTGCGGACCAGACCACCATAAGTTTAAACCTTGCAGATTACTAATATCCACACCACGAGATATTAGATCTGCTGAGTTTTCATCAGTTGGTACGTGTCGCCATGTACAATTTTCTGTCCTTTCTAAGACTTCAGCAACACGATTACGTACAAAAGGCTGAAGTCTAGAAGGCAGCATACGTAACCAACCTAAAACTATGGTGGAATCTGTCCAGCAGTAAGCTTGATCTATTCCCAATCTAAGCGACGTGATGACCTTATCATATAGCCGCGCTCCCATCAACGCACCGCACAGTTCCAACCTAGGTATTGTGGTAGGCTTAATAGGAGCTACTCGGCTCTTAGCCATTAACAACCGAACCATAACTTCACCAGAAGTACTGACGCTACGCAAATAAATGCAAGCTCCATATGCACGCTCTGAAGCGTCCGAAAAAACATGCAACTCTAACGACTTACAGGAGTCGCAAATAACAATCCTCGGTACACGAAGATCGTTCAAAAGAGGCAAAGTTTTACGAATGTAATTCCAATGACGATTAATATCATCAGTTAATGGTTCGTCCCAAGCTAATTTTTTAATCCAAAGCTGCTGTAACAATATTTTCATATTAATTATGCATGGAGCCAAAAGTCCCAATGGGTCAAAAATTCGAGCAATCATCGAAAGAATATCACGTTTGTATTACCATTAGGAACTAGAGAACTTATTGGGAAACAGAGTTCATCAGAATCTGTGTGCCAACTAAGACCTAATAACTTATTTGGCTCATCACTCCCAATATTCAAATCGAATGATGATGCTTGAACGTCCTGAGGATCAATCATCAAAAGAGGATTATTCGATTTCCATTTTCTTAATGGCATACATGCAGAAGCAAGTACATTAGTAACTTGCTTACGTATAGCTTGAACTTCAGCCAAATCGTTACCGCCCGTTAATAGATCATCAACGTAAAAATCATGTTGAATGATCTCGGAAATTTTATCATCCTTGCAGTCGATTCCTAACTGCTTTAGACAGCGTGTAGCCAGAAATGGAGCACTGGATGTTCCATATGTGACCGTGTTCAATATGAATTTTGTAATTGGCTCAGCTACATTACTACGCCACAGTATTTGCTGCAGATGTCTATCAGACGGGTGGACAATTATTTGTCTGTACATTTTTTCAACATCTGCAGACAAAACATATTTATGCTGCCTAAATCGAAGCAATATGGATATCAAATCATCTTGGACGGTGGGACCAATCATTTGGATGTCATTGTAAGAAACACCTGAGGTCGTAGGACAACTGGCATTAAATACAACACGGAGTTTGGTGCTCGTGCTACTATCTCGCATAACACCGTGATGAGGAATGAAATATTCCTTTTCATCTACCTCAGGCTGTTTATATTCTGACATATGGCCAAGCGATTTATACTCTGTCATGAAGTTGCTATACATATCTCTCAATTCAAGATTGCTCGTCAACCTACGCTCTAAAGAAAATAAACAGTGTTCCGCTCGATGAAACGAATTACCTAAAACAGAAGAATCATGTTTAAGCGGTATACGGACGCAGAAACGACCGTCATCGAGGCGCGTTGTGTTCGCAACAAAATGTTCCTCACACATTCTTTCTTCCGGAAAATAATTTGATTTGGAGCATATCTCTTCCAGCTGCCAGAATCGTGTCAAGTCAGCTCGAATGTCGTCCAAATCATGACTTGCACTAGAATCAATTTTACTAAAATTACATTTTATATCATTTAAATGCATAATTGTGTCATGATGACTAAAGATAGGACCTGAAATTATCCACCCTAATCTGGTTTCGCACAATACAGGCTTTTTCTTACCTAGTATTATTCTCCGCGTCCCTACCAAATCCCAAAAGAGATCGGCACCAATCAAGATATCAACATCTGCTGGTACAAAGAACGTAGGATCCGCCAAACTAATGTCAGTAGGGATGTCAATATTAGAAATATTAATTTCGTGACCGGGTACATTACTTGTGATTGATGGCAAAACATAACATTGAAGCTCAGAAGAGAAACTGTTATTCAACGACGTCATGTGCACATGACAAGTTTTGCCTACGCGTAAAGTTGCGTTATTTACACCCATGATTGACTTATCTACCTGACAGGTTTCCAAATTTAATTGTCGACACAATCTCTCAGTCATTAGACTTGATGTACTACCACTGTCTAATATTGCACGTACTATATGTTCGTGATTATTCTTGTCATATAATTTTACCAACGCAGTAGATAATAATACATCACATTGAATTTTATTATAACTATACATATTTGCTGCTAAAGTTACATTGTCAGAAGCAGCAGTCGTTGAAGACGACGCTAAAGGTGTAGTTTCAGATACGACTCTATTTTCATTACGAATATGATGATCATTGACTGCATGAATCAGAGTGTTGTGTCGACGCTTGCATATTTTGCAACCTGGCCTTTTGCATAGATTAGCAAAATGACCTACACTAAAACAATTGAAACATACCTTAAAACTGGGTAGTAACTTTAGGCGCGCTTCAACGCTCAACGCAAGAAACTGGTGGCAACCGGTTAGACTATGTTCACCCTTACACTTAGGGCAGATTCGATTATGTGATTCTGCTGTATTGGAATTCTGATGTGGATGACTGCCACGAACTGAAACCATAGATTTTAATTTCATAGTCGATTTATGATTTAAATTGCCCTGATTGACACGTGAAAGCTCTAATGTTTCAATCAAATCTGCACGATTTCGGATAAATTCTAGAAAGGTGTCAAAGGTAATTGAAGTATCTTTATGTGAATGCCCCTTAAATTCCTCCCACTCTCTATAAGTTTTACTATCTAATTTATGGGTAATAATATGGATTAAAAGGGTATCCCAATGTTTGACAGGTTCACCTAATGATTCAAGTGCCCGCAAGTTTTTATTTACCTGATCAATTAACCGCTTTAAATTTGCTGATGACTCCTTTGTTATTGCTTCCACATTGAACAAAGAAGACACATGATTTTGTATTAACAGACGTTTGTTGTCAAATCTATCGCACAAAAGTTTCCACGCAACAGCATAATTACTAGATGAAAACTCAACTGATTGAATTACCACGGCAGCAGAACCCTCTAACGATGCACGCAAATAGTGAAATTTATTCACTTCGTCTATTTCATCATTGTTGTGTATAAGGCTAGTAAAGGTATCTCTAAATTCCAAATAATCATCGTATGAACCACTGAATCGCGGTAGCTGGATGGTCGGAAGACGCACCAGCTTATGATTATTGCTCGCTCGAGTACCTCCATCACTACCCATATTGCTCATAGTCTCAACATTAACATTTTGTAAACCTTGGGCTTTCGCGATTGCCTTGAAATATTGTGATTCAAAGTCGGAGCGCTCTTTAAATTGCTCTTCACTATTATCAACTATACATTCAAGGCGCAACTGTACCTGATCATACTGTTCATACAACGACTCAATTTTACCCATACGTAATTGTAATTCTCTGGCATCTGAGAGACTTAACGGTTCATCAGTTAGTGTATGCAAATAATTAATAAATGCAGTTAAACGGCCTTTAAAACTGCCTCGCTTTTTTATTAACTCCTTTTCTTCGGTCATTATGGGATTCGAGTGTTGTCGACCTGGAATTTATACAATTAAAAAATTAATTCTAATTAATGAAATAAAGATCTACGATCAATAGGTATGAATACAAAATATTAAGCTAACAATATGTTAATTCGATAAAGAAATATATTTATATGTATATTATATAAATCTAGTAAATGTACTGTAAATGTTGTGACATTACATATATTACATATGCACAAGCATAAGTACCGATTCAAATTGACATTAATAGAGAAAATACTAGATTGTTTCTTAACTTGCTGTCGTACATACGGCAAATTATTTGTTTAACATAAATGTACAGATTCCTTAAGTACCTAAATTGTAATATAATATAGAACCTGACAATAAAATTAAACACCAAACACCAAAGTAACATTTAACACAAAAGAATTAGTTATACCTACTTTACTTACATACAACTGACGTGAATAACTATTGAAATTTGCAATTATAAGGCATATATTCTGATAATTAACTCAAACAATGTAGCATTAGTGCTTACTATACTTAATTAAGTATGATTTGTAGTTAATTTTAGCAAATTATGAAAAAGTACTAATATTATTCACAAGGCAGTAGGTACGAAACTAATGAAGTTAAAATAATGTGATACAGATAAATAACGTAATTATCGTTTACTAACCTTAGTAAAGTTTTTGATTTACTTATAATATTACCTGTAGAGTGTTGGGATAAGTTTATTATATAGTAATTTATACTTAACACCACTATAAATTACACTCGATTCACATCCAATGGTAGGTAGTTCTGCCGGTCAACTTGCATCCAATTAATTTCTCTTTTATTTCTTGTATTTCGATTTAATTCCACAAAATAATAACTGATCCGCATTTAATTCACATCCGGCTTCGATATAGGACCATGTTCTGGAGTAATCACAGCGGATTTTCGGGAATAATGAAATTAAAGACGCAGAGTAACTTGTACGACTTCTATATTTTTAACTTAATAAAAACTACAAAATTGTATGAGCACAGATCACAAAAGTGTAATATTTGCGTAAATAAAATAAGTAGGCGCTTTGACTTCACAACACTATTCAATATATAAGATATATATTGAATACCTGTTATGAACTAAACCAGATAGGAAAGAGTTTAATTAAAATCCTTTCAGTAGTTTCTAGGTAAAAGAGTAACAAACATCCATCCATACATCCACACTAACAAACTGCCGCGTTTCCAATATTAGTAAGATTTAATAATTTATTTTTATATTCAGGGTATCCTGGCATACGACTTGACATATAGCGAGGCATCAGCGAATGTAACACAGGGGGGCGTCGGATACAACTATGTAACACTACGTATGAAGAGCGAACGCGGAAAAGAATTAAATTACAACATCTACATTTATGCTTGAAATTAAACGTCATTCATTACTTCCTTGTATCTACTTTATTACTTACTTGTACTTATTTAAGGCTCTCAAAGCACAATATTTTTATCAATAGCGATTGGTGATATTTTGATTTAGTTATAATGAGTTAATTTGTCAGTTTTTAAGTAGAGCACTCTATTGGATCATGTGTGGTTTTGCAGCAGGAATTGTCACTGTCTTTCTATCTGTCCGAATACTGGCATTAATGTTTTCGTATTTCGCATTGTGAATCAATCTTCCTCCATCATACTCCTTTCAAGCATTAGGCCTTCCTCTCCAAGCCCTTCATAAAAAGCCGGGAACTACCTTGCAATTCTGGTGTCGCTCATGAACAGTACTGCATTTACCATCAAGTGCGTAGTAAGTTCATTTGCCTCCTGGTACAAAAAAAATTGTGTATAGACACAATTTTTTTTGTACCTAGGTAGTTTTTGTAGTTTAGTATATAGTCCTTGTGTCAGCTACCACATGTATTGCGCTTGCTTGTCTGTCATTTTCTTCCAAATATTTAAATGCTTTTGGCAATAGCTGGCCTTTACAATTTCATCGGACAAAAAATTGGGCAAGTACTAAAAGCTGCAGCTGAAGGTCAAACCCCGCCTGATGGATACAAATATAGCCTCGCCTCGCTAGGGTTTCGAATCTGGGCTCAGCTCGTCGTAATTTTGATATACATATGATAGAGGACAGATCTAAGGAATGGTGTCGAAATACTAAGTTTTGGCCAACAACAACTTTTGTAACAGGATCCGCTCATTAGTCCAGTGACTCGGGGGCAGTCGCTCCAAAAATCGAGGAATAACAGATGATGTAACTAAGATGATCGGTGAAAAAGAATAGTATTAAATGCATCGATTGTAGTTGAATCGCTGTTTTGATAAAAGTATCACTGTGTGTAAGTCTTTAAGGCTTTTAAGTAATATAGAAATTATTGTGTTTTATTTCGTGCTTTGAAGGATCCATAATAAAGAACATATATGTATAACAGTATTTTCTTTACTTCACTGTAATTCTGGCAGTAAGTAATCATAATAAGGTGTTAGGCCCGCCATGTGGATCTTTATTTTTAGTTATATAAAATTTACCATAGTCTATTTAACAGTATTATAGTGTAGTACAATTAATCTAATTTATCTGGTATATAATGAGTTATCTAAATTTAAGGAGACTGTAAATGAGGAAAATATAAAGGTTCGTTTCAGAAACATAATGAAATCAGCCCCCAAAGTTGTATTGAAATATAATGTCTAAATTATTAAAATAAAAACAAGGAAACTTCATTGGAATTCAACGTGCTCTTCTCAATTCAATAATTAGCTATTTATCATTCTTGTTTATACTTATTTCCAAATAATATAATCTTGGAGGCTTTGGTTATTTGTAAGAAATTGGCTCTTGTTAAATTGGTACAAATTTAGATCAGTGATTTCTTTTATTTTTAAATAATAATAATAATAATAATCTCAGGACTATTCACACAGAGCCATCTAGACCCAAGTTAAGCTAGCTAGAGCTTGTGTTATGGGTACTAGATGACTGATACATATACATAGATTTTTTTTTTTTAAAATACATACATATTAACATAGAAAACACCCAGACCGATACAAACAATCATATTCATGAATACAAATGTTTGTGCCGTGCGAGGAATCGAACCCGCGACCATCGGTCGTAAAGCGGTGGGCATGACCGCTAGACGACCGAGGTCGTCAAAATGTAAGGGCAAATAAACTGACGGCTTACCTAATAGAAAATGGTAGCCATTGCTATTATACAAGAACATGCGTTGCTATTTCGGAGTACCTACTATGTTATCACACCTACAGATAGCTTACTGTATTTCATCTATCATATAATCTTCCAAGAGAGATTAAAGAACTGGGATCTCATACGTTATTCAAACGCAAACTAGATTTTTGGCTGTCACTTGGTAATTTTTACAGTGTCCAAGAATATTTAAGTAACACAAACACCTTCATGTAATTTGCATGCCTGTATGGTAAATGTTGCTGATCAATCAATTTCATGTAAGATCATATTAATTAAAGAAGAAGAATTTAAAGAATTTATTTAAACCAAAAACAAATTTATAACAATAACATATTAAACGTAAACAACTACATTAGTTTACAAAAAAACTGTGTTGCAGTTATTTGCGCCCATCTCCAGAGCATTGTATACAATTTAAATAAAAACAAATGAAAATAAATGAATTATAATACTATACTAATATTTCGCAAATACATTATTTCATATTTCACTTATAGGTTACGATTAGACAGTGAAATTACAGGGTAAGAGGCATGACATCTTACTTGTATCACTGATGTTATATAGTAACCGGATAACGTGATGTTTATATGTTCCTAAGTATAGGCGACTTTTATTATTTACCATCAGGTTGGCCGTCAGCTTGTTTGCCATACAGATAACTTAAGATATTAAAGGCGGGAGTTGACCTTAAGTTACTCTATAAGTCCTTCCGCGGGTTTGGAGTGCCATATGCACTCGCCCATTATTCTCCGGTGAAGCTGCAAAGGCCAGCTGCGGCCAACAGCATTAGTAGTACAGTAGTCCGAAAAACAAAAAAAACCTTCAAGACAAGTGCTTATTCTTTATTGAAAGGCCTGCAAAGCACTTGCAATTCCCCTAGTATTATGGGTGCTTATGGACGCCGGAAATCACTTTCCATCAGATAATCCGTGATCTTGTTTGTTGTTTTTTTATAGCTTTTAAAAACATAATTAATAAGCTACCTAATAGAATATTTATCATTAAAAATTAGAAAATAATAGGAACGTAATTAAGATCAGAGAATAACATATTTCAATTTATTCTATTCTATTTTATTACTTCCACTTTAGCTAACGTTTTTGTGTTAGTAATTACACGGTATGGTTTCCAAGTGAAACTTTTACGGCGACATTTTGTGTTCAAGCGAAACTACTTTCCACATTGTACCTGCTCATTGCACTTCAACTTTTATTTGTATTCAGCATGCTTAAAATTTTAATTAGTCTGAAAAAGAGCATGGACCTAATTCTATAATGTTGGTGGAGTAGGGCGATAGCAGTATCTGAATAGTTAAAGACTAGTGGTCTCAATACCCAATGTAAAACATATCACGCCGACCCCATATAAATGGGATAAGGAAGAAGCAGATGATGATGATGATGATGATTACACAATGTCATGTCAGATCAATCGTCATTTGATTTGCCGGATTCTGTGCCGGATTCTAACCGCATTTATAATTATTAATTTCGCTCCGCTAACCACTGCAGTTGCAAAACCACCGCGTGGGGACGCCATCTTATATATAGTGCATACTGGTATATTATAAACTCTACGGACAAATAACTGCACAGAGTGTTTCGGTGACTATCGGCCAGATATTTACCTTGCTTGAATAGCAAGAGATCCATCAGTTCGCTGCTGAAGACCAGCAGTAAATTCAAGGTCACTGGACGTCGCTCCGCCTCTTCTCCTAATTCCTTATATTTTCCTTAATCCTCACAATTATGCTAAGTCCTTCGAATTAAATTGAATCAGCATCTGATTGACAGACACAGTTCTAATATCAAAAAAAGAGTATTTTACACCAGCCGCCCCAGATTTATATTATTTAGCGGCAACTAAACAACACTGGGATTACAAGCTCTACTCAATGCCCGACGATGCCTCGTACACTCAATAATGCTCGTAACGTTTCCAGTAGCGGTGGTCAGGTTTCCGCACTGAATATTTGTGGTCTCACACATGTTAGTGGTAGCAGAATTAAACAAAATAATATCCATTGGGTAATGAAGTGGAATTCCGCAACACATATTTCAATAGAATATGTAGTTGATATATATTTATGAGTCGACATAGAAATAGAAAACAGACCATATTTTCTAGTACTATATCTACTCGATCGATCTCCACGTGATCTCTTTTTTAAACCCTCGTGACTGTGTCTGTTAAATTTGTCTTTTAATATTTCCTAGCAATGCATAGATGCTTCAGGTAAAGTCTGGAAGCACATAAAATCCGCTCTTTCTTTATTCTTTATAATATTAGTACAAATTTCTATAGTTATATATATATATATATATATATATATATATATATATATCATAGATATAAGGAGATGTAAAATATAATGAAGGTTCAATATTTCTAGAAAAAATGTTAGCTTCACAAAAACTACGGTTAAAAATTTGTTCGGTAGCGATTGGAAATGAACAAAAAGTAAAAAGCTGACTTCACCTGATAGCGCGTGACAGACCGATAGACACGACGACGGCTAGCGGCACATATGACACCGTAGTCACAATACTATTTATTTATTTCATCTTATAACCACTAAGTTATAAATAAATATAAATAATTTTGATGCCTTCGGTAGTCTAGCAGTTGAACACATCGCAAGGTGCAAACAATTGTATTCATGAGTATGATTGTTTGCATCGGTCTGGATTTTTTCTATGTATTTACAAAAAAAGTATTTACGTATTTATATTAGTTATAGGTACTAGTATAACAGAAACTCTGCTTACCGTAGACTAGATGGATAGTCTTAATTGTCCAGAGATATTTATTTATTTAATATCGAAATATTACATATTAAATGAAAATAGAGTCTGAATTTACAACCTACATTCGCTACTCTTCTTGGAAACAACAATAATTTATTTCTATATTAATAATGGATCTGACTATATCTTAACCCTTTACCAAAGTATATTTTGTAGAATATCATCTGAATAGGTACCTACAATTTAGTCACAAAGCAGATTGCTTTGTAGGGTATGTTATGGTAGAAAATAGGTGTGAAATAAAATAGCAACTCATGAGAGGTGTACCACAATTTTCTGACGTCAATAGTGCTGTTCAGGTAGAGACAGTAAATTTATATTATATAATATATACAACACTCACAAAGTTATGAGCGTATAAATATATATTACTACCTTTAAACTGTTATAAAAATGTATGTTGTAAATCAGTTTATTTGATGGATAAATCTTTTAATGGTAACAGTATATAAGAATCGTAGATAGTAAGGTGACATATATAAAGTATTTATTTATTTTATTTATA